GTCAAGAACTGAGAGCAAACGGCGAATTGTTTCATGATCTGTTTTCAGCCTGCAATTCACAAAAGCTGTCATACTTTATTTTATGCCAGAAAAAGGGGAGATAAAATAGTGAAATACAGTATAATGGTAAAGAACTTTATGAGTATCTTATTGGGCGGGATGACAGGTACAAAACTGAGTTGACGGGAACAACTGAATTGATGGGTAACAGAAAATGAAACAACAGCACTCTGAGGTGACATATACCAGAAAATGAGATGACGAGGACCAAAAAGGGGAAAATACATGTACTGAGATTAAGATACGACACAACTTTTTTAACTTATGCCACAAGTGGCAACGGTTTCAAACGTCATGATGACATCTTTTTAATAATTGAGTTTGCCTTCAATGAAAACTAAGCGACAGGTACAGGTACTGAGATGACCTAGGTAACATGTATTGAGTACTGGTGTATGTTGAACTGACTTGATGGGCAGCATACAGTAGGTATTTTCAAGAAAAGTATTCAGTTGACGGCAGAATAGTTGCTGGCCTTAAAGTGATCTGATTGGCGGAATCACATTCCAGCCTATGCCTTCCCATACATGTACCTCATAAATGTGGGGCTGATTTTTCAAATCCAATCTCCACAATTTTACAATCGGGATTCGGGGTACCAGATACTATTCTCGATTCCGGAATCAGGACATTGATACTTCCCCGATGGTAAAATTGTGGAGATTGATCAATCAATTGACTTACCCATGGACTTTTGTGATTTTGCCATGCATACTCCGGTATCCCATTGCTGACCCACTGCCATGATCTATCTCTTGAATGATAGCGTCAGCAACTGTGCCAATGGCAGTTTTATCGAATTTTCTTGAGAGCCCCATCTTCTTTAAATCCCTCTTGATCTGTCTCTCCGAAAGTGTAATTCCATGACGGAACTTTAACAACATGCCGATCTCCTTGTACGTAAAACCGTCTTCAAAGTATGTGGCTATACATTCATCTCGATCTGACTCCATTTCTTCTTCGATTATAAGTCATGACACGCCGCATCTAGATTCTACAAAATCTCCTTTACAGAAGACTTTTGTAAAATTAAAATACTTATGCATTTTCAATATTAGTTTTGTAAAATTATTTTTTATTTTGCAAAATTATTTTTATAATTCTATACTTTTGGAAAATTATTTTGAAAATAATATTTTGAATTGCAAAAGTCCCATCGTATTTTATAAAACTATTTTTAAAATCTGTAAACTAGTCTAATTTGATTTCTTTAAAGTAATCTAGGTATTTTTCCATAAATATAAAAAATAAATAAATTGAAAAATGAATTTCGAAATTACAAAAATCAAATCCTGTTTCATTCAAGTTTTTAGATTTTAGATAAGTATTTTGTGAATTTTTATAAGTTTTTTAGATTTAAAACAGAAAAATCGATTTTTCATTTAATATTTTGATATATTACAAAACTAAAATTGTGTTTTATTAAAGTTTTTAGATTTTATATAAGTACTTTGTGAATTTTTATAAGTTTTTTTGAGATTTGAAAAATTAAAATTGATTTTTTTTTAATTTGAAAAATATGTCCCTTTTAAAGCTTCGTACATTGGTTACTACTGTAATTGTTATTGATGACCATCTTAGAATTTTAATTTCTCCACCCTAGATGCAGATGAGAAATTTGAAGGAGGGATGTTCCCAGGGGGAGCCTGTAGACATGTCGTTTTGTTACGAAATCGTTTGTTGAAAATCAAGGATCACGTGTTACACGGATCAAGGACAAGGTCGCATTTCCGGATTAAAGTCACAAGAAAAATGAAATGTCACTACATATAAGACATGTGAGAAATACTTTATCTCATTATGTCACCACCACAAGTGGTGACATATTGTTATAGGTCTCCAACTTTTTGTGGACGATGTTCGGTGTCTGTAACAAATGGCAGGTAGTGGAATTTTGCATGTTAATGCCTTGTATAAAGAATAATTAAATGTCAAGTTGAAATGTTTTACAAAAAGAGCAACTTACAATCCGCTCCAAAAGTTTAGAACCACCGAAACACAAGTACAGTACAGTAAAGCTTTTTGAGTTCAGCGTGCCACAATACGATGAGAAGAATAAATCATTAACTCTGTTGAGTCGTAATTTCTCTTAAAGTAGTGACAGTATATGAGTTTAAATAAGGACTCTGAATTCGAGAAACGTTACGTGGAATTTCTTGTTAAATCCTGGTTATATTTGAAATATTTTTTTTCTAAAGTGCAAGTAGTTTTGTCATATGTTGGGTTTCGGCTATTTTCTGAAGATTTAAACAGTTGCATATGTTAGGCCAACGCATTAACTTCAGGGCAAGCACTTTTTGTACCTTGAGACAGGGAAGGTGCAAACCCACCAATATGTTTTTTTCTGAAATGTTGTCCGAACTTTTAGCCCTTTCCACACCTAATTTTTTCAATTGAGGTTTCAATATGTTGTTTTGAGACACAGTTAACCTCTTAAAAGGAAAAATGTATTCCTCTGAGATAAAGTGGAAAACAATATTCCCATAGAGAAAACTCATGCGATTCATTGTTTTCAGCTTATGCATTGGTCACATTTCCTCCGATTTTCACTTCGGCGCCCGGCAGATTGAGTATTTTGTTCAAAATTGAATACTTTGAACAAAACACTCAATCGGCCGGGCGCCGGCCGATGGATCTGAGCAAATGTGACCCAGGCATTACCTTTAGTCACCCATAATGGATATCTTTAAAACCCACGTAGAATGCTTTTTTCTTTGAGAGAGCACAGATATGTCTCAAATCGCAACATATAGATGCAACAAACATTGAAAAACAGGTGTGGAAAGGGCTAAAACTCAGGACAACATTCAGAGAAAATGCAGTACAGGGTGGGCCAAAAAAATTTGCAACTTTTTTAAAAGGCTAGAAAAGTATCATAACATGAAGGTATTGACATAAAAATTGATTTACAGAAAGTTTAGGATAGGCATATTTTACCATTCAAATATCTAAGCTTATACTGAATTCTAATTTTTTTGACAGTTCCTTGAATATCAATGGTAAATTGTTCATCTGTCCAAGATTTACTGTTTTTCCAAGAAAATGTGACTTTTTTTTGATTTTATGTGATCAACAATAACACATTCATTATGTTCACTGAATCTGCTACAATCTTGGATAACTGTTTATTCAATATCTAGGACAGTTTTATATTAGTATCTACTCACAATGGTATTATGTTATACTGTATCTATAAAACTATTATTAATCATATGTTCTTACATCCACCTTTCACCTTCACTATCGCTCCCAGCCATCGTGCAAGGGTTGCTTGTGAATATCTGGAGGAAGATACCTCTAGATTTATTAGTCCTGATGAATTGCTGCCCAATACACCAAATGCCAACCCCTGTGACTATCACACATGGAGGCACCTGGAGCAGTTTATTGCAATTAATGGTAATCCACACACAAACTATAGATCAACTAAAAGAAGTTCTAAAGTTTTAAATATATAATTAATAGATACAGTATAACATAATACCTTAGTAAGTAGATACTAATATAAAACTGTACTAGCCATTGGTTAAACAAATATCAAAGATTGTAGCAGATTTAGTGAACATAATGAATGTGTTATTGTTGATCACATAATATCATGAAAAGTCACTTTTCTTGGAAAACAGGAAATCTCGGACACATGAATAATTGACCATTGATATTCAAAGAACTGTCAAAAAATTAGAAGTCAGTATTAGCTTAGATATTTGAATGATGAAATATGCCTATCCTAAACTTTCTGTAAATCAATTTTTATGTCAATAACTTCATGTTATGATACTTTTCTAGCCTTTTAAAAAAGTTGCAAAATTTTTTGGCCCACCCTGTATGTTGGTGGTGTATTTGCATCTTTCCCGTCTCGAAGTCCAAATCAATTTATCACCTCTATGACTTTTCCTGGAGATGATGCATTACAGGCCCGTAGCCGGGGGGGGGGGGGGTCGAGCCCCCCCCCAGATATCTCCTAAAATAATGTGGACCTATACCTTTTTTGCTTTCTTGAAGAATTTTCTGACATTTCGAGGTAGAAGGTAAAATTTGGTGACATATGTACGGTGCATTTTGATGTGATTGCCAATTTTTATTTAAATACATAAATCATATAAATTTTTGATCCTCGAATTGCCCAGAACGCACTAAATCAGCCCAAAAATCTTAACTTTTTCAGGGGAGCTTTATTCTAAATGGGAAGTGACGTCTGTGAAGCTCCAAGTGTTCTGGGCTACCCAAGTATTCCGAATCTAGCCGAAGTATTCTGACTTGGCCCAAGTTTTCTGGGTTTACTTATTTTATCAAATACACTCGATACTGTGATTTTCAATTTCTAACATCAATTTTAGGTTACTTCAGAGATGACTGTTTAAAATTAAGCTAATGAAACCACTTAAAATGTGGCTGCCTCGTGCACAAAAGGCTTTCCATTTATTCATATAAACTAACAGGGTACCCATCGGGGAATGTAAAATCGCCGGTTGTTCGACTTTTGCACCATGGGACACTCCTGAGCCATAGGATATTTAGACAGAATATATCAATATTTTTAGGCTGGGTCTCAATTTCAGGAATATACCCCATTTTTTGAAAAATGGGCCTCGATTTAAAAAATGGGTCCATGTTTTTAAAAAGTGTGTCAGAACTCTCAACGAGCCAACATTTTAGGACTCTCTTTTTTCATCATAGCATTTTTCCAGCAAAATTTTATTTTTCGAACACTCTCTTGTGAATTATAGAATATGATAAAATAAGCGATCTTAGAACACTTGGGTTGTCAGAACAGTTGGGCAAGAGTCAGAACTGTTGGTTAGCCCAGACCAGTTGGGCTTCCACATACGTCATTCAAGAGAATAAGTATTTAAATAAATTGCTTGCTTAACCAACTTTCTACGCATACCTAACAATATGTTTTACTTAAGTATGACATCATTCAGTATAATGAACGACGGTTTAGTTGCTCAAAATTCAGGGATATTAAACATCTGCAAAAAAGAAGGCACGATAGTACTGGACAAATCGCATGCTAGTTCAGTAGTTGCATTTGAAACACACAAATCCTCGTTTGTCTTTGGCGCATGATTCGCACCTCGTCTCATTCCTGCTTGAAGACCCCTGCGTGGCACAACAATTTGTACATTTGTGGAGTTGCTTCTTAAACACCGATCTCACAAGTGTTCGGCGCCACTTTGGCCTACACGAATCACACTTCCATTTGTAATTGGACACGTCTAAAGCACAAATATATTTGGAATTAACGACTTTAAATAAAAAGTATTCCAATATGACTGGCAAAGGAAAAAGTTGTAAATAGATAATGGTATAAGCCGTTTTTTAAGGGACTATAATCACTATGCTTTTGACTTGTAGTTTGTGTACTACACGTCATCATTTGTTGCACAGCTTTATCAGGTCACAAGAACTCACGCTTATAAAACGTTGTTAATAAGTAAGTCAAGCTGATTCTCGATTAGACTGGCAGGGAATCCGTCAAGGAATCATGGTGATATTTGGCAGTGAAAAGGACATTAGAATTTATACACAAATATACATTTCTACACGCAAATTTCTTATACATTTTTATACGCATCAGTACGTTTTTTGCCAGACGCATATTCGCATATAATTGTTCAATGGTTCTCTGAATTATTACGTATATATATAGTTTTTACACACACCAAGTATAAAATAATTATTATTTCGAAATATTGTAAAATAACATTGACACGTGTACGTACCTGTTTCAAAACAGTTTTCCGCAGCTTCAGTGGTTGTAGCTCTCGCTGTAGTGGTTGTTCCTCTAGCTATAGTCGTTGCAATCGTCGTAGTAGAGACGTCATCGACCACTGCGTCAGCACCAATACAGAGTTCTTCAGTGGGGAAACGTTCACATCTTAAACTTTCTGGCCAAACAAATCCAAACCTTCTCATCAACTGCGAACATCCATTCCTGGCTCTCTGACAAAGCGCTCTGCATGGGGGAATGGGCAAATCAAGCACAGTGCATGGTGGAGCATATACCACACAGAGAAAATGCCGCAATGCAGGGCTGCATTGTACTTTCACAAGTGGAAAAAACTGATGAACTTCCAATCCAGCGTCATCTTGGTTCCTATGGTTTAATAGATTCGGCATTTGGGTTTGGTTATATGTTATGCCATGTCTACAGAGTGGTATCGTAATGTTCTCACAGTGTACCCCAGACGTTACTCCAAACTGTGCCGTTAAAACACTAGCGAATAAGATGGTCAGACTCAGTCTAGATATCCAAAGAAATCCTACCATGTTGGATGAACTTACAACGCAAAATCTAGTTAGCTTAGATAGGTAAATACAAGGTTGTACTGCACGTTAAGAGATAACAATCGATAATTTTACATGTGCCACTGATCTTCTGTATACAAGTCAAGTTCATGTCAAGTAAAAAATAATTATTTTTTAAAATCGGGGGAAGTTGGGATTTTTGGAAGGAAAATCGAGGTGAAAATCAGAATTTTTCATAAAAAATTGGAGAAAATCGGAATTTCTATGAAAAAATCGGGATTTTTAGAAAGAAATCGGGAGAAAAATCGGGGGTATAAAAACTATATCAACAATTTTTAAAACGGGAGAAAATCGGGATTACTGAAAATAAAAAGAAAGAAGTCGGAATTGCTAAAAAAATCGGGAGAAAATCGGGGTTTACATTTGGTAAACACGTTTATGAATTGCATTTGGGCGATCGATTAAATTAAATTCTGGTTTCAAATAGTTTAGAGAAGATTAAATAAGCAAACGGTATTTCGGATGTATTAAGTTAGCTATTTTGTTTTATCACAAAATGCTTTTGCATATTTGTTTTCACCACGTTCCAACTTCATTGTAATGTCTCCTATATGCGTTACAAGTGACACACCTCTTGAGTTCAGATAATTACCTTGTTATTGACAATACTCGAAGCTTTTATACTGTACTCTAGAAACTCATTTTACTACAATATGATCTAAGATCAAAGTTGTAAACAAGCCTCAACAGACAAGATTTTAGGACGGAAAATCCAAAATGGCCACCTTAACATTTACCCAGAATGCCGAAAAACTAATCAGTTCTAAACGTTTATAGGTAGAAACATCCCTGAGAATTTCAAATGAATCCCTCAAACGGTTTGGCTGGAAAACCTGTAGACAAGCCTTGACAGACAAGATTTTAGGACGGAAAATCCAAAATGGCCGTCTTAACATTTATCCAGAATGTCGAAAAACTAATCAGTTCTAAACTTTCATAGGTAGAAACATCCCTGAAAATTTCAATAAATCCCTCAAACGGTTTGGCTGGAAACCTGTAGACAAGCCTTGTCAGACAAGATTTTAGGACTGAAAATCCAAAATGGCCGCCTTAACATTTACCCAGAATGCCGAAAAACTAATCAGTTCTAAACTTTCATAAGTAGAAACATCCCTGAGAATTTCAAATGAATCCCTCAAACGGTTTGGCTGGAAACCTGTAGACAAGATTATTCGGGACGCCAGCCCGCCCAACCGCCCGCCCAACCGCCCGACTCGTTTACACTGCATACGAATCAACATAGAATGGTCCCAATTATTTTAAGGAAAATCTGAATTGTGGGATTTTTAAAAAAAATAAAAAAAGACTTTCCCATTGAGAGCAGTGTTAAATTAAAACATTTTTTTTAAATAACTAAACGGTCAATCTTTCCAATATTTATATTTTGTAATACATCAGTATATCTTTTACCAGGATTTTTTCAGGAAAATCTGAATTGTAGAAAAAAAGATGATACACTGTGAAGTAGTACCTTGAAACGTGTCTCTTGAGGTTTTGTTTCATGGATTCATCCTAAAATTTTAGAGATGTTTCTATGGAAAGTTTAGAATTGATAAGTTTTTAGGCAGTCTGGGTAAATGTTAAGGTGGCCATTTTGAATTTTCCATCCCGAAAAGTGTTTTCTGTTCAAGGGTGCGATTCCGTTCACCCTGTGGCTTGTTTCTATTCAGCGGAAGTGACGTATTAGGGCAGTTTGGCCAACACACAATCATGTTAAGGTCAAGGTTTATCCCAGACGTACTGCATGAAACGATAGATTCCCGGATATTGTTATGCCCTTGGCCAACACCATGGGCATCGCCAAGCATGTGAACCAAGAACATCAATTATTAGTAATTAGAATCGTGAAAATTACATAAAAAACATGGATCTAACTTAACAATATACCGATTGAGAACTACACATGCTTTCAGTGTTATAGGTAAGGAAGGGGAGGATATCCCATAATTTATAGATGAAAGATATTGACGGCAATTTGTAGTAGCATGTTCACTATGCTATGTGACTGATATGTCATTTATATGACATGACTATTGAGTCAATAAAATATATATAATATATGTTTATATTAGAAAAACAGAGGGTGTTCTCAAGAAATATATACGTGTAATAATACACAATCATGATAAAGACACACCACACCCCCTTATTACCTGAGGAAGGGGGCTTTTCCCAGACACACTGCACGAAACGATCCCCGGGTATTGTAATGCCATTGGTCACAAAATGGGCCTCGAACAAGAACATCAATTATTATTAGAATCGTGAACATTACAAAAATACGCATCATGCGGAACTTCCTTAACAAAATAACTATCGAGAACTACACATGCTTCGTTTTCAGTGTTATAGGCAAGGAAGGGAGAGGGTATCCAATAATTCATAGTTGAAGCTTTCTCCATACACATTTTAGATGTTAGTCTTTACTAAGATATCGGTCCCTCTATGAATTCTGGGGCATTTCCCCCTGTTATAGACTATAGTAGTGCTTAATTGAAGTACACGCGTCCCGTCAACGTGGAGACTATACAAGGCATCTGCTTAGTTATTTTCTCATCGACCATGCCGCTCTTTTGTGCGATGGTTTTGTTTACCCGCGTCATCATAGACATGAGGTCCTCCTGCTTATGGCGTTCGAATATAGTGTCTGTTAACGCCTCTATGAACCAAGAACCCGTCTGCTTATTCCGTAAAGACACATAATCTAAAATGAAACAACATTATCAAACGTTGTATTGGCACCCTGGAATAGCCTGACAACGGTAAAGTTAGATACCGTTGTCACAAATCGCTTCAATTAGATTTTCATGAACTGTATGTTTAATAGAGCACCTAGACTAAATTCCTTTGGAACAACAATCAATCAAAGTGTCTTTATACTCACTGTACAGTTAATAATGTTCTACCATCGAAATAAAGTCTTTAATTTAAACCGATCAAAATGAGATACGGGACAGCGGACATTGTGATTACCACATGCCGTTGTCTTTCTAAATAACTCAAATTCATATTCCGTTGTCATTGACGATATCGAAGACGCTATATTGTTGCGATTCACGACCCAATTTGATCGAAATGGGATTTCATATGATACATTACAACAAGAGCTTAATACATGCGCGCACAGAATAAGCGACGATGAAATCCCATGAAATGAGGACCAAGTGATTAAACAGTTGAAGCGACGGTTATGTCCACCATTTGTGACAACGGTATCTGACTTTACCGTTGTCAGGCTATTCCGGTGTGATTGGGTTTTCACGAGGAACATATAGGTCAAATGGATGATTGTTAACTGTTTGTAATATACTTTCAAAATTGTATACTTCTTTGATATGTTAATACTAGAACAATAGACGTTTCCGATAAATCATGCCATCTTTTGATCCATCAGAGAAACTATAATTTATTGGCTAGATTAATGATGTCATCGGTTGTAGGTAACAATCTGTTCAAGCTATTGCTAATTTTGAAAAAGTGCAACCTATGACATCATCAATATATTTTGGTTTCTCTGATGGATCAAAAGATGTCAGGATATATTGAAAACGTATATTGTCAATACCTGCACAGACACTGTCTATTACAAAGTGATATAACTTTGGAAAAACAACACAAATGTATAATAGAAGCTTGCAATAATTTTTTTAACACTCGACCTTCATTCTTACCTTTGGTTGTCGAGTATTGAATCACGATATCGGCATCTACGGGAGTACTGACTCGCGGATTAATATCTGAATCTATTTCCTCTTGCTTTGTCACATCCTCTGGTGTTTGTTGTGATTCGTCATCCACTGCTTGTTGGAAATTTGATCCTCGACACGCCTGGATGATGAAAATCTTAGGTTTCCCTAAAATCAATATAAATAATTCCCGATTACATTGTTTAGAAAGGCATTTAAATTGTTGTCTGAAATTCCCGGTTTAATTTGGTCAAGAGACAGATTTCCCTACCTGACCCAATTCAATCAAAAAATATTGCGATGGGCCTTTTTGTCCCACAGGGCCGTTTCGCTCCATGTTTCCCAAAAATATTCATGCTTAAGTCACGTGATTGGATATTACTTCATTACGCCTAATTAAGTATACATTTATGATGGAACGCACCTTTTAGTGACTTAACCTTGTCTGGTTTAAAATGATCGACGATTTCGTCCACACTAACATAATCACTTTTTTGTTTCTTGTTGTCAGTTGGGACCATCAAAGGACCATCCTAATAAAGTAAATAATGTTGTCATGGTGATAGTTAGTGTATAGATGACGACCACTTGTGAACCTCCAAATAAAGTTAAATATATTAAAATATGTTACTCTTTGACATCATTATTTGTGTCTATTAAATTATAGACGAAATGACAGTCAAAATCCCCTTTCAACACGCAGAACAACAATTATTTCAACTGCAAAAACTAGTGATATTACATCACAAAACACGATTTGAAACTGTCAACCCCTTTTACGGTCATGTCATACGATTGTAAAATGACGCATCAAAAGTTTAACAATCTGTCGCGAAATACTATAGATATGAAATACTGGAATATTGCGTGAGGTGAAATGTAACAAAGTGAAAGCTGAGGCTAAACGAAAACAGCTAGAACTATAGATTATTTTCACACTTTCACGCATTTTAATAACACAAAATGTTTTAATCGGTTAAAATTTGAAAAAATCAAGTGGAAAGCACTGCAAAATTATTCATTACAAATACAATTAATTGATTGAAATTATACATTTTAATACCTTATTTCCATGACTTAGTATAACACATACGAAGCAGTTGTACTTTTCCACGGTTGGTTTGAAAAATTTGTCCTCGTGCTCTAGATGTGCTTGACATTGCGTCAGGATATCGCCGAGGGATTCCCTTTGTACGTCACGCTCGACTCTCACTCTGAACTTAAGAGTATTTTGGAAAAGATCAACCAATCTTTTTTCATCTTCTATTGTGCCTGATATACAAAATTAAAACAAGCTGAAAAACCTTAACTGGAATATATGCCCATTTTCTCCCCATTTTCCCAGAACTCAAGTTGATCGAATCTCATTAAATACATTCATGTGGGATAGTATTGTTAAAATCGATTTTCAATAGTAAGAAGGGGTTCTTGGCCTTTTTGACTTTTTTGGCTAGTACTTTTTGAAATACAATCTACATGTGCAGTATGATTTGCAGAATATCATTTATACTGCATTAGGCACGCAAGAGAGGGGAGGGAGTGGTAATAGAATAAGGGGGTAGGGGTGGACCGAGTTTTATTTTTTCCAGGAGTGTTTCGATTAGTTAATTTTACTAAATTGCCAATTTCGATTTTAAAAATGCAGATTCTGACCAATTTATGTCCCAGAAAAATTCTTTAAAGCATTCTTTCAAATTCCCCTACAGAGATCTACGCCCCGACTTCTGACTACCGTGCGAACATGGCTCTAGTCTCAAAGGCCGGTCTGTACTACAACGTACCTTTCCTGTAAGAGGCTTGATTGGGTGAGGTAAAGTTGTTTATTATCAGCGCCAGTCCAGGATATGCCCCTTCATTCAGGGGGTAAGCAAGGTCGTCATTATTTCCCCAGTTAACTGTAGAGTAAAAAAAACGTTTCGAAAATCGGTAGTTTATAATAGTTTTACAATGGAACTTGATGACGGGCTGATGCTACCCGCTACATACGTTCAGCAACCCTTCTGGATCACACGTTAAGGCCTGGGTCGCTTCTAAAATAAATCACTAAAAGTCATATTTCCGACATTTTTGATGAAGGAGCAAAAAAGGATTGAAACATTTAAAGTTTTTTACACATTATCAAATGAAGTCTTTTGCATGTTAACCTTATGGAGGGAAGTGTAACAAAGTTACCCTGCAAAACTCATTGCAAGAGATAAACAGGTATTGTCCTTTAGTTTACTTCGTAAAATGAAACATTTGTTCATGACATATCTGCAAAACTCATTGCAAGAGATAAACAGGTATTGTCCTTTACTCTACTTCGTAAAATGAAACATTTGTTCGTGACACCTGCAAAACTCATTGCAAGAGATAAACAGGTATTGTCCTTTAGTCTACTTTGTAAAATGAAACATTTGTTCGTGACACCTGCAAAACTCATTGCAAGAGATAAACAGGTATTGTCCTTTAGTCTACTTCGTAAAATGAAACATTTGTTCGTGACACCTGCAAAACTCATTGCAAGAGATAAACAGGTATTGTCCTTTAGTCTACTTCGTAAAATGAAACATTTGTTCATGACATACCTGCAAAACTCATTGCAAGAGATAAACAGGTATTGTTTTTTAGTCTACTTCGTAAAATGAAACATTTGTTCGTGACACCTGCAAAACTCATTGCAAGAGATAAACAGGTATTGTCCTTTAGTCTACTTCGTAAAATGAAACATTTGTTCGTGACACCTGCAAAACTCATTGCAAGAGATAAACAGGTATTGTCCTTTAGTCTACTTCGTAAAATGAAACATCTGTCCATGACATATCTGCAAAACTCATTGCAAGAGATAAATAGGTATTGTCCTTTAGTCTACTTCGTAAAATTAAACATTTGTTCATGACATATCTGCAAAACTCCTTGCAAGAAATAAACAGGTATTGTCCTTTAGTCTACTTCGTAAAATGAAACATTTGTTCATGGCATACGTGCAAAACTCATTGCAAGAGATAAACAGGTATTGTCCTTTAGTCTACTTCGTAAAATGAAACATTTGTTCATGACATACCTGCAGAATTCATTGCAAGAGATAAACAGGTATTGTATTTTAGTCTACTTCATAAACTGAAACATTTGTGTCATGACATATCTGCAAAACTCATTGCAAGAAATGAATAGGTATTGTCCTTTAGTCTACTTCGTAAAATGAAACATCTGTTCATGACATACCTGCAAAACTCATTGCAAGAGATAAACAGGTATTCTTTAGTCTACTTCGTAGAATGAAACATTTGTTCATGACATACCTGCAAAACTCATTGCAAGAGATAAACAGGTATTGTCCTTTAGCCTACTTTGTAAAATGAAACATTTGTTCATGACATACATGCAGAACTCATTGCAAGAGATAAATAAGTATTGTCTTTTAGTCTTCTTCGTATTGTATTGTATTGTATTTTGTTTACCACCAATGAAGGTGAGTAATACCTCTTGGGTATGTCCCGTATATATACGGTCGTAATTTACGTAATTAATATGGAAGATAGACCCAGAAATCCCTCCTTGAAGGAGCCCTGTGTTCTTTTATGTGCACTTATACATAGACATACAAGTACACACCACAGCCTTTTGTACGAGTTGCGGACCACTCAGTCAAACACCCTGAAGTACTTCACGCAAACAAGCAAATTTAGTCTTGCCTGAACCGGGGATCGTAGAATGAGACATTTGTTCATGACATAAACATGGCATGTGGACCATATTTTCAATCTTAGATTCACAGTTTTATATGCACTATAAATTAAAAGATGCGATAAGAATCAGGAGTCCGTTTTTGCAACCGTCTTAACTTACGATTTGGTTGCAAGTCATTCTTCGTCAAAACATTGACAATGGTTTTCTTGGAATCCTAAGTTACGATCGTACCAAAAACGGATCCCAGAATCGTTGGGTTTAACATACAGGTCAAAATATATCATTTAGAATGACTTTGGAAACATTTTAAAATTACCTGTAGCTGCCAGTCCATGCGATGCATCGAAGTGGGGAGAATTGGGCATCGGTGTAGAACCTACAAAAATTAAAGTGAACCATCAAAAAGGTTTGGGAACTCGAACTCCCGTATTAGACAAACGTATTTTTCATCCATAAAGATATTCAACTTACACAATATATATTTTTCAATTTGAAACTTGTGTTGCTTACTAATTATAAGGTAATTGTAACACGTAAGTCGGATCAACTAAAATCTTGGATACAAAAACTTGAATATTATGGCATCAGAGGAATAGCTAAGTCCTGGTTTGAAAGTTATTTAAAAGACCGCAAACAATATGTCACCATTAACAATTATGAATCTAAACAATCATCTCTAAATTGTGGTGTTCCGCAGGGCTCGGTACTTGGACCACTATTATTTATTCTTTACATAAATGATCTGCCTTTTGTTGCCCCTAATTGAATTCAATAGATGACTGGATAAAAGCAAACAAACTTTCACTTAATATTGGCAAAACCAATGCTATTCTATTTGGACCCCAAAAAAACAACTCTGAATCTTAAAATACGCAATGAGAACATAAATTTCCGGGAAAAATTGACTTTCTTGGAATTATTATTGATAAAAACTTGAAATTTAAAGAGCACATAAAATCTGTTGAAACAAAGATTTCTCGCGTCATTGGTTCTCTTTATCACATTAAACATCTACTTCAAATAGACAGTTTCAAAACAATTTACTACTCATTGATACACTCTCAATTAAATTATTGCAACATAATCTGGGGTAACACATTTAAATCATTTTATGATCGTCTACATAAACTGCAGAAACAATTCTTAAGGCTAGCTTTAAATAAGGATAGACTTTCTCACTCCGCTCCCCTATTTAAAGATCTTAGAATATTAAATATTTTTGATGTCAACAGATATTGTACTGGTCAGTTCATGTACAAAATCTTTAATAAGCACCCCAGTCTTCCAAAAAATCTATTTCAAGACTTGTTTGATACCAACATTAATATTCATCATCATCACACAAGACAATTGAAGACAATTGCATTATTTTCATATCCCTAAATGCTCTAAACTTTCCCTTCGCTATCTGGGTCCTAATCTTTGGAATGCTCTACCACATGATATTAAAAAATGCTCCACTCTAAATATTTTCAAATCTTCATATAAAAAACTACTCATCTATCGATAATGTATAATACCAATATCATACTATACTGTTGATTTTATACTGGTACCCGATTTTTGTAACATTTTTACATTGTACATCCTTAGATTAATTGTTAATACCATTTTTATATACCTACATGTAACATAATATAAGTGTTTTCTTTTATATGTAGTCTAGTTGTAATTTTAATGATTTCTGTTAAACCGCAACATATACCCACTAGGGTGTCTAGCGGCTTGTTTTTTTATAGTGTATAAATTAATGAGGACGTGGAACGTTTAGTTACAAACAAAAAAGGGCACCGGGAATTATAAAATTTATGTTCTGGGGTCCTGTGTGTATAAAGAAAGTTTAACTTTCAACAAATGTTATGTTTCAACTTCAAATTAGAATATGTTCACATTTTTCGCAATTTGTACGTTAATGTGTAATATTACATCCAGTATTGCAGATCACAGTTCCCCTCTAAATATTTTTTCTGTATACTCAATGTGGGCAAGTAATTAATACTAGGAGGGGGGGGGGTAATCGGTTGAGGACACAGTCATGCAAAAGTTCTCTAAAATGTGTAGTTTAACCTCCCAGCAGACCCGGGCAGCAGACTTACGCCCAGAGCCAATATTATACACTGAACGAACTTATGCTGATCCCCGGGGCTAGTCATAAATGCTACTTAATTTATTACATCTATCACATTAAAATCAATTTATCAAAATAAATATTCAAATAGATATTAGTATATACCTGGGGTAGTCGGTGAGATCATAGTAGGTGAACCAGATGGAGTGTCTACACCGAGTTGTGAAATATTTTTCTCCGCCTCATCTAATCGTTCAATAAGTTTGTATAAGCCGACTGACTCAAACATTTGTTTCAGACGATCGTAATTGTCTGGACCAAGAAAAGCCCGGTTTTCGAGGAACGTGCAAAGCTGTAAAAACCAATAGATTCGACTCATGCTAGTCCCCGAAAATAGGTGCACAAACGCTAGTGGCAATAGGGGGGGGGTAAGATAAGCACTGCCCCCCCCTGTTCCAATCCTCTTCATATAAGATACGATTACCCTATTATGAATTAAGTCTGATGTAATCGTCATATTGCTAAACTACGTTACCCCTTGGTATAGTCAACTAAATGTTAACATATTATCTAAGGAACTTCCTGTTGTCAGATTAAGCATAGACTAAGGATAACATTTAGTTTTCAAAAAATGCTAGATACTTTTTAATTCCAATGACTAAATTAATTTCCTCGACAAATACAAGTGTACACATAAAACATAGTTCAGCCTCTGACATCGACAAAGTTTCAGAAGTACAATCTTATTGGATTTCATTCATTTCTCTTTTAGTGTATTACGCCTTTAACAAAAAAATGCTTAGATTTTTTTCCCTGGTCAAAATAAGGGAAGGTACATGCCTTTCTAAAGGTGGTAATTTCCTCTGCCCGTCCCTCACCCAGTTCAGGAGTGACACTCTTTAGGCCATCAAGACCTTCCTTGCTAATATGCAGGGACAGATCCTCGATAAGCATTCGGTGAAGGCCTTCTTTACGGTCCTTCAATGATAGTAGACGCTGCCTCTTGGCCATTCTGAACGCTCAGCAGGCAAATTATACCTAAAGGAATATTAACGTAGATATCAAAGGTGAATTGAAATATTAATATTAAAATACATCCTTATTCGGCGAAGTTAAATAAGGGCTGGGCAATTAGATGTTCGTTAACGTTGAATAAGGACTTACCCAATATAGCCAAATCAATATTCATCCAAGTTAACAAGGGACGGGCCAATAGACGTTTCCGATGCGATGGGTCAACTTAACTAAGCACTGGGCAAATATTAAATATTTGCTTAATTAACAGCATTACAAGATCGACCCCCAAAACACAAATTCTACTTGATCGTATTATAAAACACTACTATGTGTACTTGAAAACGTATTTAGAAACTACGAGAGTACGAGTACTTGAAACGTATTCAATACTTATAACATATTCTTTTAATGAGTAAAATCCGTGCTTTATCTCTGTTCTTAAATCGTTTCGTTGAAGAGGCCATTGATCATGTACCCTGAGGCCACAGTCGAGGCTCGTAGTAATAATCGTTCTCTGACTAAGATAGATAACCTTTCAAAAGTAAACTGTACTTTCATTGAAATTTGGATGAGACAAACGCTCTTTTTATTTATTCAAAGAGTGAAGTTGAAGCTCTCTTTTAATGAATTGCAATCAAACTATTGAAAGGGAAGTGTAGTACTATAGAGTTCTATGATAATGCACTTAAAGTTTTAAACTTAACATATAATTTAAAAAGTTTTCAAAGCAAATTTCTTGAAAAGCAACGATTGACTGATCTAACACAAGTTCGATATATACCAAAGAAGAATCACCCGAAAAAGAAGCCCCCGAATATCGAGACAGAATCATATCAGTGTGTTACAAATACTGCTTTCTGAAACACTCATGGCAGTCAAGCAGCTAATTAAAATCAGTCTCGAAAGTCCATACTATCATTGCGATAACATAAATATTTCTAAAACAACCATAGTAGTCTGGATTAAGTAATTAACTCATTTAAGTAATTTACCCTGATTGTCTGCAATCAAACACGTATTCTAGAACACAGTGTTTTCTCTGTCCTCCTCTCCAATACAGTATAGTAACATAAAATGACTTATTGGTTCCTATATATCACAAGGTAAAAAAACACCTTGATTGTATACAGCATAAAGGTAAGTAAACATCCAATATTTGATAAGAACTTATATAGGGATCTGCCACATATCGTATTTCGAAAACCTGGACGAAGTCACAAAAGAGTTCGTGGTAACATTTTATTAAGCAATCCATAAAATAACTTTCACCTGTAAAATGATTTATGCCGCTTTAAAAAAGCACACCCATGCCTATGAATGCACTTACATACGTTGGGTTTCATAAATGAATTCCTTAGAATCACTTTTTTTTACTTTAATTGCTTTTATTCAGCCAATTCTTTCATTGCGTGTGACTGAACGCAATCAAAGGGCTTTGCAATTAAATAATATATAGTCTAAAACAGGGTAAAAAGTGAATGTTTTCGTGGAACGGAAACTTGTTTAAATTGGGATGGGGAATTATTTTTGTCAGTCATATCTTTGACCATGGGTATTTTGTCATCAAAATTACGATATTTCTCATCAAATGATAAATTATCCTCGGGGTGAGGTCTCCAGGATAATTTTATTATCAATCTGACTCTAATAGAAACCATGAATTACGAGTTATCGCCCCAGCGTATAGTTTGCACAGTTTTCAAAATGCAGGACATGTTTTCTTAATCGGCATCAAATGCCCGCCAAATAGAATGTTAAATCCTTGCCAAGTCTGGTGTAAGATGCCTGCCAAATTAGACGGTAAATCCTTGCCAAGTCTGGTGTAAGATGCCTGCCAAATTAGACGGTAAATCCTTGCCAAGTCTGGTGTAAGATGCCTGCCAAATTAGACGGTAAATCCTTGCCAAGTCTGGTGTAAGATGCCTGCCAAATTAGACGGTAAATCCTTGCCAAGTCTGGTGTAAGATGCCTGCCAAATTAGACGGTAAATCCTTGCCAAGTCTGGCGTAAAATGCCTGAAAAATTGGACGGTAAATCCTTGGCAAGTCTGGCGACAAATGCTTGTCAAATTGAATGATCAATTCTTGCCATGTCTGGCGTAACATACCTGAAAAATTAGACGCCACGTCTGGTGTCAAATGCCTGTCGAAATGGACTATAAATCTTTGCAAGAGGATCCTTTTTTCTCATTCTAAGTCCATTATTAAGTAGATTGTACAATAGTAGTTCAACAGGATAATCTCAAAGGAAGAATGGCGTTGAAAGTCTAATTTGGAAGATATGAAAGTGTGGTGACCAAAAGTAGGACGGAAACAATAAATTGCATGATTTTTCCATCATGAAATTGAATCGAATATATGCATAATACTGATAAAACTTGTCTTGATAACTTATCCTGATAACTTAATTTCGAGGAAAACGTAATATCTTTAAAATGTTGTATCTATGGTCAGAATAGTCATGGCTAAAGGTCGATCTGAAATCCTTCTCCATACCGTATCTGGTCGTTTTGAAGAGCTCAATGTATTTCACGAATATATATATTTTATGAAAGTGTAATTAGCCAAACTAAATGTGCGAATAAAAAAACTTTCTGAAAGTTTCAGGAGCTCAGTTTAGACTACGAAGTTTGGAAAAGTAAAATGAGCTCCATCAAATCTTCGATGAGAAACTTACCAAAAGATCAACAATTTGGTTTACCTGTACAAAAGTAAAAAGAGCTCAACTAAATGTGCGACTGCAAGGTTTTACAAAGTTAAAGGAGCTCAAGTTAGTGTACGATTGAATCTTTTACAAAAGTTAGAGAAGCTCAACTTAATCACTTCTACAAAGTTAAGGTAATTTCATAAATGATAATCTTTAGGAACTCAACTAACTGACTAAATGGGCTCAACTAACTGGACACCTTTTGTAAAAGATACAGGAGCTCATGCAACCATGTGTGGGACTGCAGTTATACAAAAGTTAAAGGAGCTCAACTATATGTACACATGAACATCTTTCCCAAAATTAAAGGAATCGTACAAATGTAAACTTTGCTAAAGTTTAAGGAGCTCAAAAATGACAAAAGATACAACTGACGGTTGAAGTTTTTGTTATCGCTTAGTTTATCTTCTTGCCTTATTGATTCTAATTTATGCTGTGATTTGTATTGGGATTAATTAGTATATTTCAGTGGTGGATGGAGGAGGGGCTAAGACTCTCTCATAAATATGGTTTGAAATGTGGAAATTGATTTAAATATCTTTATTATGTTAAAATGGTCATCGTTGGTCACTTAAATACTAGTATATATACTGAATAATTTTGGAACTCTACTTTCTATATACGGGCCGATTTACGATAATTGATATTTTAAAAATCTGTTGTTGTGACTGCGACATATATGTTGATTTCATGGACATGCAATGTGTTATTTTTTGGTGACCAGACTTCAAGTAATCATTACCACAAGGTACCTGTTTGGAATATTGCTTATCTTTTTTTAAAGAATATGATTTTTAGATAATTGACAAATATTTTATTTTCGGCAAATAAACTCGGATGTATACGCGACCAACTCTCTAAAGCAGGATGTTTTATATATTCGGATCCTCCAACACATTGGCCGTGTTAATATATACTGTTGATACATTATTTGGTGAAAGCTATGCCAGAAGGTGTATTTAGGTAACCTTAAACTGCAGACAATGGAGATATATGATTGAGTGTAGGTATTTCTGTCGTGAATTCAATTTGTCTACATTAGTTTGTCCAATATTTTGTATCCTCAAAAGTTTGGAGGATACAAAATATTGGACAAACTAATCTAGACAAATCTAAAAATATTTTTTCTCAAAGATGATATTTTAATGTTTGGAGTGCAAACATTAAAATATCGTCTTTGAGAAAAAATATTTTTAGATTACTATTTTGAGAAATGAAAGTACTAAAAGCGTTTGGATCATTGTTATTTCTTGTCTCTTATTTCATCTTCTGGAATCAGATCCAATTATATGGCTTCAAGAGAATCCAGTAGCATGGCATACATACCCAACTTATGTTCAAATCCAGAATTTTTGTCAAGACCTGCATTCTGTTAATGATCCAGCTGAACGAGCAGTGAAGCTGGTACAGGAATGCTCTCAAATGACCCGTGACACGGCGCATCGTGACAATGTGTGACATTGTGTGTGTTGTACGCTCAGATCATAGAGGAAGAGTGTCACATATAAGAAAAGCTGATCTGAACCATGTCTAAAACATTAAATGTCAAGAATACCTTTTACAGTTTAAACCATTATAATGACAATACCAAATCATATATGAGACATGATTCTCTAAGACTGTACTTGTTCAAATGATTATATTGGTCGAATCAGGTACTGATATTTTGTAAATAGGATATTATAAGTATAACCTTTTATATAAATTCACATGATGAAACTGAGTAATATGATGATTTAAACATCTAATCATATCATATACAGAGTGGGCCAAAAAACCACCCCCCTAGCCATTATTTCTGATAAATATTCATTTTTTAACATGTACACCAGCAATGATATATCATTTTAAATGATGATTTAATTTGCAACAAAATGATATATAATAGAACAATTTTCAACACCCCTGGCTCGAGGTATATCCATTTATGTGACATGGGGGTAAAAAAACACCTTTTCAATTTTCATCGATTTTGCGAACAATAGCCTATTTCTACCAAATTTTACTGTTCAGTTAAAAATTGCAACATTGTCATGAGTCTTTCATAATTTGATATTATATATTGTTTTCATTCAGTTTTTGAACCATGCATGCTCAGTAAACATGTGTATGCTTATAAAACAAATTAATTTCTTCTTCAGTCTGTCCAAATATGGCTCAATAGACCCATCCCCCGGACCCATCCTCTGATCGGATTATTCGCTTAAGACGCGAAAACCATTGGTATAATTGATGGATCTCTGCGAAGGTACCATCGAACTCCTAATTATTCATTCTTTCAGTTTGTCTACATCCCTGATAGGCTAGTGATCTTCATAGACCAACTGTTCTAAATGCCCAAGGTACTATACATGTAATCAACAGGATAGACCCTATATGTCAGTAAGCAAGAATGGGGACATTTGCGATAAAAGGCTACTCAAATCGAGATGACATCTTTCTGAAAGGGTAGTGGTGTCCACTCGGTGTTTCCTAAAAGGGAAAGACCGTACAGGCCCTGTTTTTGTTGAACCAGGAGCAAAAATATACTCTGAATGTTAATGACATGAGGTGCTAAAAAGGACTCCTCAAGGATATAAAAAACATGTGAAAGGAATTTCATTATCTGATAGGAAAGTACTTCATCAAACAGGTCCAATGCTACCCTGGAGTTTTTGGAGATTCGAAATGACACTCTAGCCCGGACAAATGGCTTACTGACAGTCCAGATGCCAATAATGTTGATTACCATATTCCTGGGGGCATCTAGAACAGTTGGTATTTAAAGGTACCCAGCCTATCAGGGATGTAGAGGAGCTAAAAGAAAGAATAACTAGCAGTTGAATGGTACTTCCGCATACATCCATCAATTATGCCATCAACCAATGGCTTACGCGTCTTAAGTTAATAATCCAATCAGAGGATGGGTCTAAGGGTTGGGTCTATTGAGTCATATTTGGACAGACTGAAGAAGAAATTAATTTGTTTTATAAGCATACACATGTTTTTTGAGCATGCATGGTTCAAAAACTGAATGAAAACAAAATATCATATCCAATTATGAAAGACTCATGACAATGTTGCAATTTTTAAATTAACAGTAGAATTTCGTAGAAATAGGCTATTGTTCGCAAAATCGATGAAAATTGGAAAGGTATTTTTTGACCCCCATGTCACATAATTGGTTATGTATCCATCTGGGGTTGTTGAAAATGGTGCTATTATATATCATTTTGTTGCAAATTAAATTATCTTTAAAATGATATATCATTGTCGGTGTACATGTTAAAAATAAATATTTATCAGGAATAATGGCTTGGGGGGTGGGTTTTTTGGCCCACCCTGTACAATGTTGGTTTTTTCAAACAACATAAATATATCACTAGAAAAAAGCTTCTACAAAGTACGATTTTGGGCGACGCCCACTAATGTTAAGCCTACGGGCAAACTTGAAATTTGAAAAAAATCACAGGTGATATTTACCCCAAAATGCAACTCGATTCACGTTGGGAGCA